CTTGGAGGGAGGGACCCAAAACAGACCCCAGGATTCGAGGTGTGGTTTCCCCAGTGCCAAGCCCAGGGGCTCATCCCTGCCCTGCCGTGGCTGTTCCTCTTTGAGCTAACCCAGAGCTGGTTGTGCTGAGCTCAGCTCCTGAGGGGGGCAGTGCACACCTCTGCCCTGCCCTCGGGAACATTTTACCAGCCTGCTGTCCCAGCTTTCCCTTCCTGCCAGGAGACAGAGGCAGGACCCAGCCTCAGCACCTCCTGAGCGCCTGTGGGAGCTGCCCAGTCACTGGCTCCCTGCTGGAACTGGCTCCAATTCCTCAGCAGGTCTGAGTTCAGCCCCAAGGGGAGTGCCCTGGGTGGGTATGAGAGCCAGCAGCCCTTCAGCAGCAGCCTGCCAGCCCCCAGCCTGCCAGCCCCCAGCCACAGGATCCCCTCCTATGTGGACAGCCAGGCCTTCAGCACCAGGAGGTGAGAGTTTGGGGGTGGCATCTGGAGCAGGGAGAGCTGCTGCCAAGGGAATATCTGGCAGGAGCTCAGCTCTGGGTGGTACCAGCACCACATCCAAAAGCCAGAACGGGATTTTTGGTCTCACAACACAAGAAACAAGATCAATTGTTGGACCTGAAGAAGGGGTTTTGGGAGATCTGAGCTGGTAACTGCTCTGTGACACCAGAGAGTTCTTGGCAGGTTGTACCCAGACCTCCTGCATGGTGCTGTGTGGAGACCACATCACCCTCTCCTCTCTCACTGCTGAGATGGTGGTTTGGGAGCAGTCTGGTGTTTCCTCATGCCCTCAATGACAGGAGAGATGAGTTGTACATTTATAATTGCTGTTTATATCTCTCTGTCTCTCCATTCATGTGCTTGGAATGTTGCCTTCACCTCTTTCAGCATTTTTTTTCAGCCAGTTGGTGTCACAAAACTCTCATTTGCTTTTTGGAGGCATTTGGAGACTAGGAGTGGAAAAAATTGGGACACACCCTGATTGTGTTTCATGGCCTGTTATCACCCCCAGCCCTGCGTGCTGCTGAGGGGTCTCTGCAGGGGAGAAGCTCAAAACTCACCTCCTAACTGCCCTGGGGTCTCTGTCCTAGACCCAACACGCCCAGAGCAGGGTTTCTCACATCTTAGGATGAGCTTATCCTGCCCCCCTTTCCCTCCTGAGTGCAGCTTTGGTTTGGGGGGGTCTCAGTGGTGTTTAACAGGAAGTTATGGGGTTGCCTGAAGCTTTAATCAGGATCAAAGTGCTGAGGCACAATAGAAACATCATCGGTGCCCCAGGGCACCTGCAAGAAAAGAATGACCTTGAGCTCTAAGCTCCTTTTCTCTCCTGAAAGAGCCTGAGCCCTGCCCCAGGTTAAAACCATCCCAGTAATGAGTTCTGGCTGGGAAAGGAGACACCAGGGGGTCTGGCAGCCCAGTGGGCCCCCTGCCCAGCAGCTCAGATGGGGCAGTGGTGCTTGTGCTGAGCACTGGGGAAGGAAACAATACTGAGGATGTAGAAGAGAGCAGCAGAATCACTGAGGTTGGGAAAGCCCTCTCAGATCCTGGAGTCCAACCACCCCCCATCCCTGCCAGGTCCCCACTGCCCCGTGTCCCTCACCCCACATCTCCACGGCTTGGGAACCCCTCCCGGGGTGGGGACTCCACCACTGCCCCGGGCAGCCTGGCACAGCCCTGGGCAACCCTCCAGGGCAAGAAATTGTTCCTCAGGGACAACTGAAACCTCCCCTGGGGCAGCTTGAGGCTGGTTCCTCTGGTCCTGTCCCTTGGGAGCAGAGCCCGACCCCCCCCTGGCTCCAGGCTCCTGTCAGGAGCTGTGCAGAGCCAGAAGGTCTCCCCTGAGCCTCCTTTGCTCCAGGCTCAGCACCCCCAGCTCCCTCAGCTGCTCCTCCCCACGCTTGGGCTCTAGACCCTTCCCCAGCAGCTCCGTTGCCCTTCTCTGGCCACGCTCCAGCCCCTCAGGGTCCTTCTGGGAGTGAGGGGCCCAAACCTGACCTCAGGATTGAAGGCATGGCCTCCCACGTGTCCAGCTTTATCCTCCAGTGCTTGATTTGGGCTCTTTTCCCAGCCAGAGCCCTGCACTTGCTGCAGCTGCAGGAGCAGCACAGTGGAATGAACAAGGCCAGGGGACACTGCAGCATGACAGTGACCACTGAGGCCAGGGCTGGATGAGCCAGCGTGGGGCCTCAGTGCCCAACGTCATCAGGGCTTTGTGCTTCCTTGCCAGGCCTGCCCCAGACTACGAGGGGAGAGTGTTTGAGGGGAGCAGCAGGTATGACAGCACTGCTGCCTGGGGGCCCTGTGAGCTCAGCCCTGCCACACGGTAAGAGACCAGGGGCTGGGAGCCCCACCTGAGACCCAGAGAACACCCCAGGGCTACCCCAATTCGGTGTCTGGAGCACCCTGGCCCACCTCCTGCTTGTTCCCTGGTGGCAGCAGGAGCAGGGAGGTGCTGCTTGCATGGCTGGCCCTGGCACATGGGGGGGTTTGCTGTAGGAGAGTCCCTCATGTGTTGGAGTTGAGTGCTTCAGACTGTCCCTTCCTTTCACAGCCACGACCCCCTGCCCAGGGACACCCCCATGGCCATGCCCCAGAGAAGCCACAGGGTGCCATTCTACATGGACAGCTTAAACTACAACAGCAGCAGGTAAATGGGCACTCCTCGTGGTTGAGAGGGAAACCCTCTTCTGGAGCCGTGGGGGGACTTCTGGAGCCATGGGGGGGACTCCTGGCTGTGGGAAGAGGAGCTAGGAGGCAAAGCCCAGAGCTGAGGGAGGGAGGAAGGGGGTTCAGGCAGTGGGTGTGTGCTCTAGAGGCACAGCAGTCCTCCTAAACCATTCCCAGCTAAAGCTTCCCAGCACAGAGTTTGGGATACATCTGTCTCTGGAGACTCCTATAGAGTGACAGAATGGAGTGACAAGAGAATGATGAGCTGGTTCCTGGCTACTCTCTCTTGATCTGAAACCAGCCTGGGCAGAGGCTGCAGAAAAAGAGCTAAAAGTCAAGAGACATGGAGAGAGAAGATCACCATTTCCACAAGGTCAAGGATTAAAGGACCAAACTGGTCCCAAAACAAGTTTGTAGGGTGGGGTGGGAGGTGTATCCAGTATGGAATACCCCAGCCCTGGGCTTTCTGCAGTCCTTCATGGCAGTGCCAGCCAGCCTGACACCACGTGGAGCCACCAGCACAGCGCTGGGTCTGCAAAGGGGAGAGTGTCCTGGGTGGGAACAGGGGGCACAAGAGCCTGGGACTGGCTCTGGGCAAGGTCAGCTGCACCCTGCAAGGCAAAGCCACCAGCTCGTTGCTGAGATAAGGCAGAGCTGTTTTCTGAAGGTGTTTTAGCAGCTGTAGTTTTGTCACCTTCTCCCCTCAGCAGCTTTGGAAGTTATCAAGCTGAGGGTAGTGAGGCTGGGGAGGGGGATGTTGGGTTTCAGGCTGTGTCCCCCCCATCTCCTCCTCTCCTGCAGTCTCCTCTCCAGAGCTGCCCCTGTTTGAGGCTTCATGATTCCCCTGAGCTCTGTGTTTATCTGGAGTTTTTGTCTGATCTTTAATCCCGTGGCCCTAAATGAGCCTTTTCCAGATCCTTTCTCCAGGGAAGCAGGACTGGTAGGTGGCAGCTGTAAAAAGAGCAAGAAAGGAGCTTTTTGGTCTGATAAAGATGAATTCATCTGTGTGATTAAAGGCCTTACTGCTGTGCCTTCCTAAGAGCAGTGGTGGGTTGTTCCTTGGCTGCCCACTTGGATCACATCATGGCTCCTGCTCCCAGTGCCCATGGGCTTTTTTTCTCTCTCCCCAGGCTTCTCTCAGGTTCCAGTGAGAGGCTCTGTGGTCCCATCACCACCCTGCCACACAACAGCCCCCTGGGCCCTGGGTACCACCAGCCTGACCCCAGCACTCCTGGGTAAGGAGCCAGGGCTGACCCTGATCTGCTTGCTGCTTGGAACCTCTGCACCACAGGACGTTCCTCAGCCACTTCTGGCTGAGCAGGGGTGTTGCCATGGGGCCAGAGCCACCCAGAAGGGAGAAATGGGCTGGGAACTGTCTTTAGAGCTTGGGATGTAGTTCAGTGCACGAGTTGTCTTCTCTCTTTAACGTGGCAAAATCCTGAATCCTCCATGTTGTAGCTGGAGGGGCACGATGGAGCCTCCTTGTGCCACACACAGCATGGGTGTGGGGTCCTTGGAAGACTCTTTGCCTTGTCCTAAGTCAAGGGCAAGCAAGTGGTCTCCAGCAAAGCCTGTCAGAGTTGGGTGGGGCTGGTGGAGGACCTTGCCCTTGTGTGTTCCAGCAGATCCTGTCCCATGGTGGCAGGTGGCCCAGGGCTGTGTGCTGGGGGTATTGGGGCTCCCACAGGCTCCACCTCAGAGCTCTGTGGTTTTACACAGCTGAGAGGTGGGGTTCAAAGTGGGGAGAGGTCAGGGTAGGCTTTGAGGGGCAATCTTTGGGTCCTGCTGGCCTTGCAGCACCTGCCTGAGGAGGAGACTCACAGTGTGGGAGGGCTGGAGCCACTCGGGGAGCCCTCAGTGTGCCCACAGTCCTGTGGTTTGAAAACAACCTTGCCAAATGGGGTGAAGGAGTTATGAGCCATCCCACTCTTTAATTAACCTGATTTGTTCAGGTGGGTTAATTAGGGGGGGTATGTGAGGTGTTATTTAGCAGCAGAAATCAGCAGTCAGGATTTATGGGAGAACAGCATCCTGCTCGGGGCATTTTGAGGGGGAGCTTGTGGGGTCCTAGCACCTCCATGGGTCCCAGCACCCCCCTGTGGGTCCCAGCACCCCCCCCTGGGGTCCCTCACGCTCCCTCCTCAGCTCCAGCCCTTCCTAATGCACCCCCTTCTTCTGCCTCCACCCAGCAAAGGGGTACTC